TCTATTCACTTACTAATACAGATACAATTCCAACGCTACTGGCTATATTAAATGCAATTTCAAAACGTTTTTTCTAGAATTAAAAATAATGACACTTCTATTTTCTTGTTTTTTGTTAATATTTTAAATTTACTTTTGTTTCTTTTTTGATTATTTCAAGATCAACACGATCAGGTAAATATGAATGTAATAATGAACAAAATGCAATACCATCGATCCAAGAATTTGAAAAATTTGTTATTGATATTCCCTATAGATGAATCATATAATCTTTGTTTTTTTGAAAGGTATTACTTACATAATTCGCTAATTTTTCTACACACCATTTAAGTAGAGCATCACGTTTACAAACACTACCAGGCATTCGAGCAAAAACAGCTTCAACAATGGATTTCATTTCATCATATTGTTCACTTGAATAAAATAATAAGATAGAAAAATTTTCAAAAAAATATAAAATAATCAATATACTTCGTTATAGATCGAACCGATGTATCAGATCTTTGACTACTATTTAACAATGGAGAAATATTTTTTGTTGAAGATAATATTTTTGCATCATCAGTTGATGTATCAAATTGTCGATGATTATGATTTATTAGTATAGCATTTGTTTCTGTACGTGTACATGGTTGTGATACTGGTCGTTGACGAATAGGAGAATCATTATGAGTATTTAATATATTTATTGGATCTATAAGAAAAAAAGTTAGATAAATTTTTTTTTCGTGATGAAAATATTACTATTCCGAGAATTTGCTTCTAATGTTCGAATCATTTCTTTTATTTTTACATGCCCAAAATCTACAAATTCCAAATTAAATAAGCAATAAGAAAATATTTAATTTCTTTACCAGAATGTTCATTTGAATTTCGATTCGGTACTACTAATTGTATCTAAATAAATAATATAATTACATCTTTATTAATCATAATAACTATTTCTTCTAATCGATAAAACACCCGACTTTGTATAGACAGTTCGCTTATGAATTACGTGAGACAGATCGGATTACCCGCTTCTGACTAATTGACCTATTGAATTTCGATAACGTACAAATATGTCTAAGTGTAGTTATTGAACAACACGATCTCATAAAGATGTCCTCTAAAATTTACCTGTTTTCTATGAACAGCTTTATTAATTGCTCGTTCTTGTTCAATATGGTCTGTAACTCGTTTCAGATCATCATTAGCTTTATTTAAACGATCTTCAGCATCTAAATTAATTTAATATAAAAATAAATCTATACATTTTAAATCTTCATACCATATCGTAATTCACTTGCAACACGTACAGCAATTAACATATCAGCTAATGTTTCATCTTTTTCCATTGTTATTATTTCAAGTTGTTTTTTTGTTTCACTTAATTTTTTTTCTATATCTTCAATTTGTGTTGATAAATATGTATTTTTTTCTTTATAACAATTTATTTTTTCTTCATAATCATCTTCTTTATCATTTAATGCTTTTTCTAATTTACGATTTTCTTCAATTAATTCTCCACAACGGATGGATATTAATGCTTTATCTTTGATAACTTCTTCAATCTTGATTTCTAATTCATGTATATGATGTTTACATTGATGAATTTCTTTTTCATGTTTATCTTCGATTAAATGTTGATTTTGTTGTAAATTTTGATATTGTTTTTGAGAATATTTTAATGATTCATCTAATGTAGTCAATTTGGTTTCATATTCATATCGTTGTGAACGAATTTTTTCAAGTGAATTTTGTAATTCAAAATCAATTAATGTTTTTGATTTCATACATTCTTCATTCTTAAAAATAATAATAAGAGTGAAAAAAAGAACTAGAATATTTCATCATACTTTTTTTCTTTCAAAATCAATTTGTAATTTTAATTTTTGATTTTCTTGTTCAAGACGATCACAAAACTTTTTCATATTTGTTAATTCATTTGATAAATAATCGTTATCTTCAAATTTTTTATCTAATTTGATTTTTGAACATAAAACATGATCACGCATTTTGCCGGCATCACTTTCGTAATATTTTATTTGATCTTCTAATTTATATATGTGTTCATAAGTTTGTCGCTAAAAATATAAGTCAATATTTTTCTTTTTTCATACTTCAAAAAAATTTAATTATACTTGTTGATTTATTAATTTGTCTCGTTCTTCTTGAGATTCTTGTAATAGAGAAAGAAGTTTCTTTTCGTCGTTACTATGTTCTTGTTCTAAATATAAAAAAAGAGAAAAAAAAGCAATCGTTTGTCATAAAACTTTATTCGCATGGTATATGCGCATGTGTCTTCCTTGATGTATATATATATATATATTATATGAGTATGTTGTATTATTTACCATTTCTTATCATTTGCTCCAATTGTTCATACTTTTGCTTGAGATTACGTAATTCGTTCGTACGCTCATCGATGATACAGCACAATTGATCGCGGTCTTTTTTACCGTTTACCAATTGTTGTTCCTGCTGTTTGATTATTGCCTATATAATACATAGAAAAAGAAGAAAAGAAAAGAAAAAGAGACAAAGATTAACACCTGCAGTGTATACATAATGCGAGAAGAAAAAAAAGCACATATTATAGATATTCACCTGACAATCGGTGAGTTCACGTAGAAGAACATGAATTTTTTCATTTTTTAATAATGTATCATCATTTAATGTTTTCAATTGTTGAATATGATGATCATTTTGATGTAATAATGGTGTTTGAGTTTGAATTGAATTTGTCTGAATACGATGTTTAGGTATTTGATAATGTGTTGATGAAGAATTTTCATCAAAAAATAATTGTCGTGTTCGATTATTTGTTATTCCTATTGGACGTATCACCGAAGGATAGGATGAAGTAGATACTGGCGAAATATTATTACTAAATGTATTTTTTAATGGTTGTTGTTGTTTTACTTCAACTTCAATTTCACTTTTATGACGTATTTCAGATCGTGATATTGGTACTGATTGTGAAAAATTTGTTGATTTTATTGTTGAATTATTTGGTTCCGTATATGATGTAGTTGATGGTGAATTAGGAGCTAAATAAAAAGAAATTATTTATATTTAATTATAAACAATTAATGCGAATGCTTTCTTAGAAATTCACAAGTATCAACGTTTAATATGATGTCTTTTCTTTTTACCATTATCTCGTTGCTGTCGTTTAATTTGATGCCATGTTATAATAGATGAATATCTATCAGGTTTTATAGATTTTGATATACAATTTTGTAATGAACAATAATGAGGAAAAGACATTGACGTATTGTTTTACATTATAATATCATACTGGTCATATTTCTTACTATTAATTGACTTTTTTTCTTTAGAGTATACATTTTCCTATCATATATCGTCATCTCAATTGTTTCAGGGTCGATTATTGATTTTTTTCTCTTTATCATTACATTTAACTCTTCAACTCTCTTCTTCTTCTTTTTTCTTTTACTTATTCATAAGGATATAAATACAAATATAACATATCATAAGGTCAGAACAATTACAACACACTCTCTTTATACTCATATAAATTCAAATTTATATATATATATATAAGGTGTATAGTAAACCTTGATAGACAAGTACAATGGGCTGTATATAGTTTCCTATCAAAATATTTGTAGTTAACTTGGCTTGGTGTGAAAAGTTACCTTCAAGCTGTCTTTCATTGTAGCACATAGAGAACGAGAGAGAAAAGGAAAAATTACGATTTGTTTCGAATTACATGACTGATCGTTTTATAAGAAATATGATGATTAGGTAGATAATAAAACAAAATATTTGTACATTAAATTCTAATTGAAATCAATCTTTCAATATCCATTTACTTAACTAATTAAAAACTTTTACTAGTGAACCTATATTCGACCTTATAATATGATATGTAAATGTTCATTTATCACTTCAGTTTGACAGAACGCTCTAATGAACTATACAAGGATTTCTATCGATAATGATGATGCAATCAAACTATAATATGTCTATATGAAGAAAATCATATATAACAATTTACTCACTAGTTGAATCGATTAAATATGAAATTAAGAATTGATAAGACAAAGGTGCTACCTTTTTATTTTTATGTACATACTATAGTAGGTAATCATCATTTAACTTAGTAAATCTATAAAAATGATAACGAAGAACTCAAGAAAAAAGAAGATTTTACTATTCATAATTAACTGACATATTTAATCTTTTTAAAATGTCATGTTTATACATTCAATACGACAGAATGAAGAAATTCAGTGCAAATGCTATATATTAAATTAGACTTTTAAATGATATTACATAAGCTAGAGAAATAAATGAAGTCTATAATAGTGTGAAAAAAAAATGAAATTATTTTTTTTTTGTTTTTCTTAAAATCATTCATTGTGTACTTCATTCATAAAATAGAAACCTTAACAATTCTTTCCATCAATTAACTAGATGAATATTTTTGTCTAAGAAAGCTTTTCACTTTATTTTGATTACGATGGTGATATGAAAAAAACAAATAATGTCAAATTTATATGTCATAGAAATTCAGTTTATTTTAAACAAATGTTATATCCCTTATCTCTCTTTTTTTCTCATTCATCATCGGATTTGAATTGAACAAATAGACAGGTGTATCTCTATGCTCTATTATATCATACATCTATACAATAGACTAATCACAAGTAGGAATGTTTCCATATGAAAAGATATAGTAATTGATAAGAAGTATAGATCTGAATAATATCAAAAGTTCATTTAACATCGATAAGTCATATATATACGATTTTAAATAAGTTAAATGTTTTGCTATTCATTCAAGTCAATTTTTTTTATAGTTTAGTCTTTTTGATTTCATTCAGAAGCTTTATAATCTAATTGACTATTATCGATAGAATACAAAGTAATACCCACTTGAAGAAAAGTATAAAATTGTTATAATAACAATCAATCTGAACTAATTATAATCGAGACAGAAGAAAAAAAGAAATTTTACTTGAGGGTAAAAAGGTCAGTCTTACTATTGTTAAATTGAGTATATGCACAAACAGGTAGTTTGTTTTTATTGAATGAACATTATCAGTCAAATATTCGATGTCTATCGACATACATATATTTTATATGAACGTGATGGTTAAAGTAGTGATAAATCTCATTAAATTAATGTTTACTTTGTAAAATAGTGCGACATATATACATTTTCTAAATGTTAACGAGTATGGAGGTTGGCTATTTCATGACAAAACAAGAAGAAAAAGAAAAAAGAGAACTTGTCATCATATAAGTACCATAAATGTAATAGAAACAATGATGAAATTAAAAAGAAAGTTTCTTTTGTTATATTTTTACCTCTATTAATAACAACAGTTTGTAATGGTGGTGGTGGAGATGTTGGCGGATTTTGTTTTCGAAATCGTCGAAAAAGTCGCATTTTTTTCAAATTTAATTATTGAAATGAAACAATACGATTGTCCTTATTGATACCAATAGGAAAGAAAGAGATATATTGTTGATCAGCTTTTAGTTCGACGGATGGATATATATGTTTTGTATGTTTGTACGCATGTTTTGATGACGAGTGCAATGAAGAAAGAATGGAGAAGAAGAGAGAAATGTAATACGTACATCGATATACAGACGAAAAAAAAGAAGCAGAAGAAGAAGAAAAGAGAAATGAAACAGAGGTGAGGTAGAAACATGTCTCTCTTTTTCGACTATTTGTGTGAGACATAATATGCGTCAAACAAGGTCAGTTCAGACAACGATCCTTGTCCACACGTGTCCCCGATGATATAACGCTTGACTGATTGTCAACGTCCTCGATAAAGGACTACCTAATGTATTATCATGTTATATAAAAAACGTCTAATATATCGATTTATCATGTTTAAAAATCGATTCTTAATTCGTTTCATATTGAAGTATATATACTTCAAATATATCAACATGTACAATTACTAATAGTTTATTTTTCGATTACATAGATATCAATACGTCTATTCTATAATCTATTCACTAATCTACTTTTCTATTATAGAAAGTCAATGAAAACTTGCAAAAAAAATCCTTACCTATTTGTTGTTGTGCATAAAATTCTAATTCTTGAATATTTTTTTTAAGAAAATCATTTTCTAAAAGCATATCTTCAAGTTTTTCATTTAACATTATTTGTATTTGCATTGCTTGTTCAATTGATTCATTTGATGATTGTATCATAGTTTTACGTTTATTCTCAATATATTCTTTCATTTCTTCAAGTTCATTAGTTTTTATTTGTAAATCATATTTCAATTGATCAATATTTTGTTGAAGTGTATACGAATTCGAATATTCATCCGATTGTTGTGAACGTTTTGTACGAAAAAGACTAAATCGACGACGTAATACAGATGTTGGACTAAATGTTGTTTGTATAGGTTTTGTTTGAAAATCAATTAATGATGTTTGAGATTTTTTAACTTTACATTTTTTATTATCTTCTTTTTCTTGACATTCAATTTTACGTTCATTATTATTCGATATTGTATCTGAACTTTTACTACGAAATTTTGTTGATCGAACTGGAGCCACTACTTGATAATAATGATGATAAGATAATGATTTATTCATTGTAAATTAATATTAATTGAAAAAAAATGATAATAATCTACAATAAATAAATTCTTAGAGAATTATTTCAAAAAAAAAAGATAAAGATCATTTTGAATAAATACTATTTTTATAATAATACATGCCTTTAAACAATATCTGTCAGAAATCTTAATTATTTTAAATACTACCTTTTTCTTCTTGTTCTAAAATTAGATTAACCTATATATTCGATATGGATGACACAACATTGAATATTTCGTGTATGTATATACATACAAAGAGTCAAACTATTATCGGATTGATCATTTCGTTAAAAATGTCCATAGAACATCTATCATATGAATCTTATCTTGTCCATGAAACTTGCGAATATATATAAAGCGCGTAAAAGATGACACTTCGCTAGCAAACAAACTGATCTCTTACATACAGGATATGTCATTTATTAATAAGCAAAAAAGATGTAATACATATATACCTACACATTCTACTTCATTTAAACAAGATAATATCATTTTATGAATAATGCTTACGTGTACATATATATATATAGATATACATGTATTTATACAATTAGATATACTCTGATCTTTATTCTCATATGAGTATGTTAAAACAAAATGTTCTCATCGTAATTATAGTCAACAATAAATAATGATAGAAAAAGTGGTAAAATTCTATGAAGCGTATAATAACCATACTTAGTAATTAGCTTTGAGTACAACTATAGAAGGCAAAGAAAAGAACATGAATATATGACTAACTTTTAAAAAATAACTGTAACTAATTATATTTTGTCGAAAGATGTCGAACGATATTATTTAGATCTATATAAAAAGAAGAAAAAAAGTTCATTATTTAAATATTTCTATTATGATACACATAAGATATTATCTTACTAAAACTAAGAAAATGAAGATGATGATTAACACGTTGACTGTCCGGTGTATCATATGTGATGCACGATACTTTGGACTGAGACGTCCCGTGCATCACATATGATGCACGCGCTGCATATGATATTTAAACTATTGAAATTTATCGGCATGATGTAAGCAGTACTCACGGGAGCAGGGGGGGGGGCTAGGGGGCAGGGGAGGGTGTACTCCCCCCCCACACCCCGCCGGTAATTCGAATTTTTTTTCAACGACGGAAGCTGATTTGGAAAAAATTTTGTGTTTTTTCTAGCAAGTTTTTCTCTATAGTATTATTCTAAGAGAGACAATTGAATCATATGTGTTGCATGGAAAAAAGCATCAAAGATATATTTAAAACTTATTTTTGTGGTATATGAACATAATACACTTCAAAAATAATATATTTTAAAAGTACGAAAAAAGTAAAAAATGGACGTAGAACAAGTACTCATTTTTTTGTATGGGGACAGTCAACGTGTTAACATTGACTTATATAGTAGTATTTCTATCGTATAAAAATCATAAGTTATTACTATTGTTGACAGCAAATGACAAATTGAATATGACCTCAACCCGGAAGACTATACAAGTATACATTTTTCAACACTAAAAGATAAAAGAAAAAATCAAACATCTACACTAATATTAATATACCATTTCGTTCTCCTGAGAAAAGAACACACAAAAATCTATTCATAAAAAGATTAATTGAAACGTACAAACTCTTTACTAAAGAATCATTAGTTACCTTCATCAAAATCTCCAAGGTCATTATTTTCAATGTCAATGATTGTTCTAAAAAAAAAGAAAGTAAGTAAGGAATAAGTCAACACTAAGAGAACCTATTGTCACTATTATGTACTCTGTTTATTCTCCTACACTTCACATCGAATAGACAGAAAAAAAGATTATTGAACTATAAAAGAAATATTAGTAGAAAATAAACGAATGTTCATATAGAAACAACTGCTACCATTTCTTATTCATTTGTCAAATGATCATGTAATGTATAATATGAAAAGAAATAGAAACTAGTATGATTAATGACAAGAGAAGATAAACGATGATCAACTGTTCATTTATCCCCTTCTATATTAAATCAATGATTTTTCTAGTTAAATATTATTTTAAACAGAAATAAAAGTTAATAATATGTACACATAATATAAAGACCTACAAATTTTCTTTTCTATTAAATATCTTATAATTACAAGAATAATTAATGATTATATTTATAGCTTACCTCATTATAATCAATATGAATTATTTTTAAATATATATATATATATGCTAGTTTTAGATTACACTACAAAATTTTACTGTAAATGACTAAAGTAATGTACTTTTGTCTGATTTATTCTGTGACATTGGAATAGGTAAGAAAGCAATCGACTTTTCGTCTATGAAAGACGCCGTTTTGATTGAAACATTATTTTTTTATGCGTCGCCTATTAACGCATCTATAGAATAGTCGATTTATTTTGTTCACACTCGAATGTAATTTACCTTGAAGTCGATAACTTCAAACTTGAAAATATTATTTTGATAAATAAAACAATAACTCAATACGTCTAGTGTAAACAAAGATGTTTTTTTTTGCCTTTCTTATCAATGATAAGAACCATTCACAATGTCTTGATAATGATCAATGTAACATATATATTCGATTCTTTTCTATCATAAAGGACAAGGTTAACGACAGGTACATAAGGGTTATTGTACTATTAATCTGATTGATAAATTCTAAATTGATCAATGTCGAACTATATTAGAAAGTATAGCTGATATATCTATTTAAAGTTTTTTTTACTTCTATTAAATAACTAGATGCATACTTTGGACGAATAATCTTGAGTCAATATTTGTTTGACGAGACGTATGGAAATATTTTTCGTTGAATTACATAGAGAAAAAGCCTTGAGTATTTTTTACTATTAGCTGTTATATATTAAGAATATTTTACGACAGCTGCAGTGCTGCTGTTCTATAAAAGGCACAAACCACTCTCTTTACTGAATTTTCTTACTCGACGAACAGCATTAGTTATTTAAGTCTCTTGTTTGGAGCACATGTAATCGTTGATAATATTTATCTCAACGTCTTGCAAGTTTACTACAAAAAAAAGTGAAGCATATTCTCGCTATCTATCAATGCGAAACTAGAAGTTTTAATCGTTTTCTATTCATTCACTGAGAACAATTTCTGAATCTCACACAACTGTTCGTTATTCTCTTTCTATACGTTACTTTTGGATGTTTTCAAAATGTTGTATTTATCAGCATGGAAATCTAGTAGAAATCTTCATCATTTCAAGCGATGACATTATCAGATCACAACAACTACCTCTCTTGTATAAATCAATATCTACCACAGTCAATTTCCATAACTATCAATCATTAGGACTCCTATTCACCTTTATATTTGCTTGTTTTTCTATTAAATTACAGTCAAGATTGAAATAACATACACATAAACATATTTTGGTAGAAACGTAATGAATTTATTTGACAATACTTTCACGCTATATTAATAGCCATTCTTAGTATAAAAAAAACCATTAAAAAAAATGAAAATCAAACATGTTATTCACTTGATATCAAAGCACACGGTTTTTAAAATGGAAGAAGAAGAAAGAACAGCTTATAAAAATTTATTTTCACACCCTAAAACAAACAGAATAGTTTTAACTTGTTGTAGTTGCTGCTTGTGTTGTTGGTTTATTTTTAGCAGCATCTGGATCACGAATAAGTGCAAGAATTTTATCTAATTTTGCATTTTCAGCTTCTGGACCTTCAGGTACCTCTTGACCTTTCTTAACTTTTGGTTTTTTACGTAGATTGGGTGAAAGTTTCAATGTTGTTATATTTCCTCGATCATCACCAGCGAGTACAATTGGAAATTGTTGATTAAATGTAATATGTGTTAATTTTGTACGTTTTTTTTGTACAACTATTTGTTCTGTAAGCGGCTCATATTTATTGACATTTAAATCAAATACAAAAACTTTTCCATCAGCTGTACATGCTGCGAATACAGTTGAAGAATAAGGTGCCCAATTAACATCACCTACAGCACTACCAAGATCATAAACAAATAATGGATCTCTGAATAATAATAAAAACAAAAGAATTAAAATAGGGAAAAATAATTTCGTAATTATTTCTATTACTTGTAATTAATATCCCAAATTTTAACAGTCCAATCAGCTGAACAACTAGCAAATATTTTCGGATGATATGTATTCCAACGTACAGCATAAACAGCCATATGATGAGCATCGAATGTATCCAAAAATTGATTATTATATGATTTTGAACATTTATGAATTTTACCTTCTTCAGTACCGACGATAAATAAATAATCTTGTTGTTTATTAAAATCAAAACATGTTCCACATCCTTTTTGAAGAAAAAAAATTAAATTAGAATATTTAATTAATTCACTATTTAAAATATCTACCAAGTGTAGTTAATGGAACACCTTCATCTGTTTCAGTTGTTGGTTTATCTAATTTTAATTGAACAATATCTGTATACATAAGATCACTCTAAATAAAATTCAAATATTTTTTTGTGATATATATTTATATATATATCAATTACTTTAACTAATGTCCAACAGACAACTCGACCATCGGATGAAACCGAATAAAAATTTAGATTACTATCTAAATCATCTTTTTGCCATCGTACTTGCCAAACAGGATCCGTATGTTTACCACTACGAGCTGTACTTTGATATTTTGGTCGTTTATTTTCATCAGCAATATTATAGACAGCTACTGAACCATCATAAAAACCTGCAAAATAAAAATTTTAATCACAATACAATATGATTATAAAAATAATAAAAGTGAATTTTTTTGCTTTTATAAATAATGAATATGTCTAGATATATAGAAGTTATTGAATTTGATTTGATTGAATAGAAAATGAAGGGTTTTTTTATTTATCAAAACACTTCAAGGTTTTTTTTCGAAATCTATGAAGTTTATATTTATATAGATATACATTAGGTTTGATGATGACTATATATAGACTGCATGTCTTATAATAACAAAGAAAAAAGAACTTGCTATTCTTTAGAAGTTTACAATTACAT